TGCTTCACAGTTGCTGAGGCTGGCTTTGAACTCTCCTGCTGCTAGAATTATAGGCGTGTGCCAGGGCTGGGGATATGGCTCAAGCGGTAGCGCGCTTGCCTGGCATGCGTGTGGCCCGGGTTCGATCCTCAGCACCACATACCAACAAAGATGTTGTGTCCGCCAATAACTAAAAAATAAATATTAAAAAAAAATAGGCGTGTGCCACCATGCTGGGCCACAACCACCTATTGAATCTAATTTCTGATCCCTCTCATTCTTTCCACCAGTACCCTGGTCCAGACCTCATCACCTATAACCTAGAACAGAATTGCAATCCCTACCCATCTGATCTTCCCACTAAATCCTTCCTTTACCAGTTCTTGTCTCTCCACAGACAGCTAGTACAGTCTTCCAAATTAGAACACAATTGATCATTGGATCTCTTATTTCCCTGACTGAAAAGATCTTATGTTCACCATCCCCTGAAAATCTAATAGGCATTGGAGCATTAGAGGACCTCCAGTGATTTGAGCTCCACCTCCTTTCCACCCTCATGCCCAAGTCTACACTTTTAAGCACTCTGTCCAGAATCCATTATTTGCCCTTCCTTCCTTGTAATTGACCTCTGTGTTCCTTCTCCCTTTTCTTATGTCATTCCTTATGCTGGAATATCAATTCACACCTGTGTTTGAATCCTAGTTTTGTTACCCATTCACTTTGAAAAATTTGGCAATTTCTCAGTCTGACTTTCCCATAGCCGTGCAAGTGACTTCCCTGGTCACCAAGGCAGTGCATGCATATTGGGGTTACCTTTACCTTTTCTATAAGTTGTACCAAAACATCCACTTATGTTCTTTAATTTGTACCATTCCTTCAAATAAAGAAATTTGGTACTAAAAAAAAAAAAAAAGAAAAAAATTTGGCAATTCACTTAAAACTCCCTTGTGTCATAGATTTTGTGTTTATAAAATTGTCGTAATAGTACCTATTTCATAGGATTGTTGTGAGAAACATTCTTTTCCTAATGAGACATACTTGTTATCCCTCTGCAACAGTTATATGTGTTCAATATCTTAACTCCCTTCTAGATTAAATGTAGGATCTTGAAGGTTATCTTTATATACCTTATCAACTCAGAGCCTTGAACAGAATAAGTACATTTGAAAACTTGAATGAAATGTGAGTTAGTATTGGGCTACACAGAATACACCAGTAATACAGTAACCACTCAGTTGAGGACAGTGGGAAGGTAGGGATAAATAAAACACTGGGTAAGGGCTGGGGTTGTAGCTCAATGGTAGAGCGTTTGCCTAGCACGTGGGAGGCACCGAGTTCAAACCTGGCACTGGATTTAATCTTCAGCACTACCTGAAAATAAACAAGTAAAGGTATCGTGTTCATCTACAACTAAAAAAAAGACTGGGTTAAGTATTCATTCTAACAAATTGCATGCCTTGTAATTTGACACTGGGAATTCAGCAATGAAGAAGGCCCTGACTAAAGTTCAAGGATCTTTTAGCCTAGTCAGGGACAGGATTTTTAGCTGTGTGCTGAGATGAAGTACAAGAGGAAGGGAGGAGTTGAAGGGACTTCAGGATGGCACAGGGTGGCTGAGTTTGATCAGAAAATATAGATCAAAAGGAGGATGGGACTGGGGCTGGGGATGTGCCTCAAGGGGCGCTCACCTGGCATGGGTGTGGCCCGAGTTCGATCCTCAGCACCACATACAGATGTTGTGTCTGCCGAAAACTAAAAAAAAAATATTAAAAAATTTTTCTCTCTCTCCTCTCAAATAAAATATTTTTTTAAAAAGATTACAGATCAGGACTGAGAATATAGCTTAGTCAGTAGAGTGCTTGTTAAAAAAAAAAAAAAGGAGGATGTGGCTATGGATTTTCCTTTACTCCTAGCAGACCTCTCAAATTGCCTTCCTGAGAACCTGCCTTTTGGCAAGACATGCAATGCCAGTATGACTGGCACTCTTAATCTTCCCATCCTCTTCCATAAAAAATGACTGCCTTTCCGCTCAAAACTTTCCACTTGTCAACCTATGTTTTCATCTTCCGCCCTCAGTGCATGCTTCTCTTCAGTGTTGCAGCAAGATCTACTAAATGATAGGCTCTTGGCTAGGCCCTGGAGCTACAGAAAGGAACCTTGTAGGACTCATGTACAAAATCCAGGGAACAAACCACACCCAACCAGTGTGCCCATGTGTGTTAGCCTAGGGTGCCAGCCTGAAGAGTCAGGGAGGCTTCCTCTAGGCAATGAACCCCAATAAGAATCAAGTCTTTTTTTTTAATATTTATTTTTCAGTTTTCAGTGGACACAACATCTTTATTTATTTTTATGTGGTGCTGAGAATCGAACCCAGCGCCCCCCGCATGCCAGCTGAGCACATTACCACTTGAGCCACATCCCCAGCCCAAGAATCAAGTCTTGATAGTAGGACAAAAGTTCTGTCACCCAAGGAGTGAAGGCCTGCTTCCAACTGAACAAGTGGTGCATAATCCCAAAGCATGTGATCCATAATGCCCTGTACTGACTCCACCTTTTCTCCATCTCCTTGCCCCTTAAGCCAAGACCTTTCCCCAGCACTGGCTGCACTGCTATAGCTACACTATTTAGCTTAAGATGGAGAAGGAGGGCTAGGGATGTGGCTCAAACGATAGCGCGCTCGCCTGGCATGTGTGCGGCCTGGGTTCGATCCTCAGCACTACATACAAAGAAAACTAAAAAATAAATATTATCTCTCATCTCTCTCTCTTAAAAAAAAATGTAAAAAAAAAAAAAAAAAAAAGATGGAGAAAGAGCGAGGAAGCTGCTGCAATGGAATCTCTCAATATGGCTGAATGAGGCTGCCCAAAGCCCTAGAAGGAGGAAGTGGATAAGTGCTTTATCCAAAAAGATGGCAGCCTCAGGTCTTATCAGAGGACAGCAGCTTCCTTACCCCCCCTACCTCTGGCTAAGTCACAAAGTGCCACAGCAGAGTAACCAGATGGATGGGGGAAAGGGGTAGCTGTAGAATTATGAGCTAGAATATAGTTTTACAGGCCTATTAGTTCACAGTTACACTATCCCAATCAGTTGCTTTATACTAATGTGTTGTTATGAGAGGTGGGGTGAATATTCAAAGAGACATAGTGGGGAGGCTGAAACAACAGGAGTTGATATGCTGCTGCCCACAGGAAAAGGGAGGAGTCATGGCTTCCCACCATAAGCTCCTACCCACCAGGATGGCCTCATCCCCTTCCTAGTAATCCTAAAGATTATATGATCCAGGAGCTATAGCCCTTTTGCTCTGCCTGCTGCTCAGCAAATTACTTTAGGTTCTAGTTTGATAAGAAGACTTCCTGTGGTGGAAATTGAAAGAAAGAGGAAAGAGCTGCCCATTTCTGCTCAGGAGGTTGTGGGAGAAGGATGGCCAGAGCTTTGTGTTCACTACATGCCTTCTGGCTTCTGGAGTGGGCACTACTGCTCTTGGGACCTAGTGCTGTCCCAGCAGCCTTGGCCTTGAACTTGGACCCTGTGGGACTCACTTTCTATACAGGCCCCAATAACAGCCACTTCGGATTTTCACTGGACTTTCTCAAGGACAACCATGGAAGGTGAGCCTTGAGGGAGTTGGGTAGTGGTGAGAAAGGACCCCCACACACACACATACATACACACACTGCTTCGGTGTGCTTCTAGTACCCCATTTGTGACAGTAGTTGAGGATTCTGGAGTTTATTTGGGTTGAGCTCTTGTCTGGAATGCTGGGGTGATACTGGTTCAGGTGAGGATGTCAGGGAGGAGTACCAATAGAGAGATGGGCACTGAAACTACAGCAAGAAGACAAAAGATAATTCCTTATTTTTTCCTTAAGTGTCAATTGTATGACACTTTATCCTCATCTCATCAAAAAGCATAAAGGAGTACCAGGCACAAAGGTGCATCCTGTAATCCCAGCAACTCAGGACAGAAGCAGGAGGATTGCAAGTCCCAGGCCAACCTTGGCAACTTAGTGAGGACCTAAGCAAGACCCCTGTCTCAAAACACTTAAAAGGGCATAGTAACACACTCCTGGGTTTAATCTTCAAGACCAAAAGGTGGGGGTAGCACACTCCTAAAATATATCCCCTCCTCCCCATACAAATTATAGATATTTAAAAGAAGCAATGAAGTGCTTCTTAGTATTGATCAGACTTTAGAATCAGTCTCTGTAGCTATATGACTTATTGTGGCTGACACTGGATTATCCAGTATTGGAGACTCGTAATGGCAGATAGCCTTCAAGTAACAGTCATTTGGGGGATTTCCTCTGCTAAAGACAATTACTTCACCTAAAGTCAGGTCCTCTTCTGAAGGTGGCTTGCATTCAATGAGTGTGATCAATGAGAAGATGCATTTTTTCAAAAGTGCTTGACTGAGACCATGCTAAATACCCTTTATAATTTTTTTTTTTTTGTATAGGAGATTGAATGCAGGTTGCTTTACCACTAAGCTACATCCCAGCTCTATTTTTTATTTTGAAAAAGGATCTTGCTAAGTTGCCTGGCCTGGCATCAAACTAAGAATTCCTCAAAGCCTCCTGAGTCGCAGGAATAACACTGCACCTAGTTTCCCCCATACATTTATTATATTTACTGTGTGTGTGTGTGTGTGTGTGTTGCTGAGGACTGAACCCAGGGCCTTGTGCATGTGAGGCAAGCACTCTACCAACTGAGCTGTTTCCCCAGCCCACATTTACTCTTGACAGAATTAATTGGTGTTATCCCTGTTATGTTTACATAAGGCAAACAGTCATCTAAACCTAGATCCTCAGCTGTATCAGCACCCATATCCCACTTTAGCTTCTCTCATTCTTCACCATTAAAACTAAGTCTTAAAGGGCTGGGTTTAGCTCAGTGGTAGAGAGCTTGCCTTGTACCTGTGAGGCACTGGGTTCGATCCTCAGCACCTTATAAAAACAAATAAATAAAATATATTGTGTCCATCTACAACAACAACAACAAAAAAAAACAATTCTCAAGAAGGGATCTAGTGACAGTCTAAATAGGCATTCCAGAAAGCATGTGAACCTCTGGTTTTTGTTGGTAGTAGGAGGGTGGAGACAGTGATCAGAGTTCTAGAGTACTTTTTTCAGCAGAAGAGAAACACCATTTGGTGTTCAAATCAAACCAAATGGTTTTAGTCCAGTTCACTGGGTTACAATAGGCATGTGAATTCCCTTACTGAAAGTCCATTTCACTGTCCATAAAATGAAGATCGGTGAGAAAGATGATCCAGTGTTCCCGGGGCCACATGGCCTTCCCAGCACTGCTCCCAGGGCGGGCTACCAGGCAGAATATGCAGAAATTTGCTCCACGCTCATCCAGCTTTTCTACAGAGTGGCCATCGTGGTGGGCGCCCCGCGGAACCTGGGCCCAAACCAGGAGGAAACTGGCGGCGTGTTCCTGTGCCCCTGGAATGCTGCGGGTGGCCAGTGCTCCCCGCTGTCCTTCAATTTCAGTGAGTCCCTGGAATGGAGGTAAAATGAAGGACCAGAGAGACATGAATGACCAAGGCTTCAATGCCCCATTCCTCCTTGTGCCCTCCAGACGATGAGACCCAAAATATTGGCTCCCAAACTCTCCAAACCTTCAAGGCCCGGCAAGGACTTGGGGCGTCGGTGGTCAGCTGGAAAGACGTAATTGTGGTAGGCGCTGCAGACAGGACACCAGGAGCCGTCGGGGTCGGGGAACAGGGACACGTGGGGTAGCCTGAATCTCATGCCATTCTCCACTATATTGTGGCCCTGCTCCAGGCCTGCGCTCCCTGGCAACACTGGAACGTCCTAGAAAAGACTCAACAAGCTGAAAAGACGCCCGTTGGTGGCTGCGTAGTGGTTCAACTGCAAAGTGGGGGCCGCGCGGAGTACTCACCCTGTCGGTCCAATACCATGAGCCGAGTTTATGCAGAAAATTTTTTTTGTAAGCTCCGCCCTTCGTTTTGGCTCCTCCCACGCGCTGCCCTTTAGCTGGGCCCTTAAGCGGTCAGCTCTCTAGGTCTTGTTCCCAGGTCCTTGTTTCAATCAGGCGTCAGCTCAGCTCCTGGCCCCGCCCCTTCTGATCAAAGCCACGCCTCCACACCGCTCCCCAAGGCTGGGTTCCTACCGCATTCCGCTCCCTCCAGGCTCCAGGTTGGAGAGTATCCTTCATATTCCGCCCCTTTGCTGATCCCTTTTCCTCGCCTTCTCTAGACGGAGACAAGCGGTACTGTGAAGTGGGCTTCAGCTCCGTGGTAACCCAGGCAAGTAGGGACCAAAAGTGATGTGGGGCATCCCCGAACAGGACCCCCTCTCACGTTCAGTGCTTCCCTTTCAGGCAGGAGAGCTGGTGCTTGGGGCCCCTGGCGGCTATTTTTTCTTAGGTAAATACCCAGCGATACCAACTCTCTCCCTTCTCGCCTGGTCTCCCCTGCACTGGGTCACACACACCTCCTGTCCCCCACTGTTAGGTCTTCTGGCCCGGGCTCCAATTGCCGATATCATCGCGAGTTACCGTCCAGGCACTCTTTTGTGGAACGTTCCTACCCAGAGCTTTACCTACGACTCTAGCAAACCAGAGTACTTCGACGGCTATCGGGGTAAACCTGCCACCTCCCCTCTGGGCTTCCCAGCATTCTAAGAGTCACCCCCCCACCTCAGCTGTCAGATCCTGTCTGCCTGAGCCTTCAATCCTAGCTGGCCAGCCCCAGAACAGAGGCTCCCCAGCTCAGTTCTCAGCCATTCTCCCCGCCACGCCCTTTTCTCAACTCTGATGCACCCCATCTCTCCTTTTCCTCCTTGCACTCACAGTGAAGCCTCGAGCAAGGTTTACTTAGCCTTTTGATGGCTTCAGTTTTCCCGTTTACACAACGCAGGGTTTGAACTTGGTGGCTTCTGAGTTCCCTCCTTCTTTGTCTCCGGTTTCCCTCCCTGCTTAACGCTTCTGAAAAAACTAACTTGTGCTGTTCTCAGGGTACTCGGTAGCCGTGGGAGAGTTCGACGGGGATCTGAACACTACAGGCAAGAAATCCACTTAGGGGCCGGGGCTGGGGAGCCCATGGGGAGGAGCATCTACACGAATCTCCCCTGGGTGCGGAATGCGGGAGGGGAGGGGTAGATAGGTTCTGAAGATCTCATTCCCTGGACTCCCCAGAGTATGTCTTCGGTGCCCCCACTTGGAGCTCTACCTTGGGAGCGGTGAGTGCCCCCTGCCCTGCCACTCCACATTCAGAACCTGACAATCCTCACGCTGACAACTTCCTTGCGCCCTCAAACCTCCTGCCCTTTCTCAGTGGGAGCTGCAGGCTTCCAAGGAAGCAGGAATAATGGGCTCCATTGCGTTCTACTTGCAGGTGGAAATTCTGGACTCCTATTACCAGATGCTACACCGATTGCACGGAGAGCAGGTGGGCGCCACGTCCCAGCTGGAGTGGCAGAGGCCCTGGAGCTAAGACCCCAAATATTTCATGGGCAGATGTCTAACAGAGGGTGTTGAGTCTGGAGGCACGAACTAAGGTGCTCCCCATCTTGCAGGTGGCTTCTTATTTCGGGCATTCTGTGGTCGTCACTGATGTCAATGCAGACGGGTGAGGAGGAGAGCCCCACCCCTATCCAGTTGGGTCCCCAATTAACAGAGGCCGAAGCTAGCCTCCATCTCTTCTTTTCTCAGCCTTCCTTTCCTGTGACTACCTAGGGAAGGAAGAGAAAGGGGGGGGGTGAGATTTGGCCCTCCTCTCTAGAATCCTAATCATCCATCTGGCTCGCAGGAGGCACGACCTGCTGGTGGGCGCTCCACTGTACATGGAGAGCCGGGCCGACCGCAAGCTAGCAGAGGTGGGACGCGTGTACTTGTACCTGCAACCCCGAGGCCCCCACGCTCTAGGTGCCCCCAGCCTCCTGCTGACCGGCACACAGCTCTATGGGCGATTTGGCTCTGCTATTGCACCCTTGGGCGACCTCAACCGGGATGGCTACAATGGTAGGGAAGAGAGGAACCCCACTTGCTGCAGGGGGGTTGACAGCCATCATAAAAAGCTGGACTCCATCTCTGGGCAGCAGGAGCCAGGAAAGGCTCAAGCAAGGGGTGACACTATCCTAAATGTGGTTTCAAAACCCAGCTGCTGAGTGGGAGCAGATAGGAGAATTAAAGGGAATCAGTTAGAATGGATTTGCCCTAATCCAGGACAGATGACCACTGGACAGCAGAATTTGGCAGTGAAATTAGAGATGAGGATGACTTCATAGATAATTAGGAATTAGATTACTAGGACTTGATGGGTTGTGAGATATGGGGTAAGGGAGAGAGAGGAGTTGGGTGCGTTGGTGGTGCTCTTCACTGCCTGGAACTCAGGCCATGGCACAGGTCTGGAGGAGAAAGGAGGTCCATACTTCTTGAAGGGCTTGGGACCATTAGGTGGAAATGTCCAGGGAATCCTTGGACATGATTTCCCCCACTTCTAGGATAGAGGACTGAGTGAGAGGTAGGTCTAGCCTGTGAAATGAGAAGAGGCCCAAGATAGAGCCCTTAGGAGTAGGAGCATTTAGGGGATACCCAGAGGAGGTGAATCAGAAAGAAACAGAAACAGAGTATCCAGAGGAAATAGAAGGAGAACCTTGAGATCCAATGACCTAGAATTCTCTCCAAGGAAGAGAATGCTTTAAGCAGGAGGAAGGATAGGATCATTGGCTGCCTATGCTGTTGAAAGGTACAGTTAGATGGACTGGGGAAGTATCCCATGGGCATTATCAAGAAGGAGGTCACTAACAAGAATCAATCAAGGGTAGGGTAGGGACAGAAGTTAGAATACCATGGAGCAAGGTATGAATAAAGGTGAAGAATTGGAGGCAGGCAGTATAGAAGACTCTTTCAACCAGTTTGACTTAAGAAAGCAAAAAGCAAAAGGATGATCATGGAAAGGAGGGAAGTCAAGGGAAGATTATTTCAATTCAGAAGAATAGGGGGTATGTTGAATGTGAAGGAAAATGGTCTCATGAGGAAACTTAAGGATAAGCCAGAAGAAGGTCCCTGAGAGGCAGGGTCAAGGAAAAGCACCTATTCAAGGATCATATGAGGAGAGGGAGAGAAAGTAGGTGTAAATTTATAAGACAGCAGTTACACTGCTCCTCTTTATGAAGTAAAAATGAGATCACCTACTGAAGGAAGTGGGTGCAGGTAGCTTGTCAGAATGGAGCAGTTTCAAAATAGGTGCTGAGTAGAAAACTCTTCAGACTGCTGTGAGGCCTTGAGCCTCGAGGTCCCAGTGAAGGCTGGAGATCTGGAATTCATGATGCCCAATCTGAATTAGCCCAAAGTGGAATCCAAAGTGAAAACTGGCAACAGGGCAACAAGACCAAGGATATAACAAGGAAGATAAAATGCTCAGGAAATGAGAGGAGCGGGAGAGGGATCAGGAGAGAGAGGGGACCACAGCATGAGGATAGGCTGTGGTGAGGGTGCTCTTATCTGGATGAATTCTGTGTAATTTGATTAGGAAAAGCAACAATGGTATTTAAAAGTAAAGACCTGCTATACAGAAAACATATGGTAAACCAAATTAGAGGACAAAGAAAAGATAGTTGTAACACATATAGCAAAGTCCTTAATTCTTTCTTTCTTTATTTTTTATTTTTTGGCAATGCTGGGATTGAATTCAGAGTCGTTGTGCATGCAAGGCAAGCACTCTACCAACTAACTATATCCCCATCCCCAAGACCTTAATTCTTGTGCAAAGACTTCTTTTTTGGTCACTACTAAGGATTGAACCTAGGGGGCATTCTACCACTGAGCTACATCCCCAGCCTTTTTTTTTTTTATTTATTTTTTTTATTTTGAGATTGGATCTTGCTAAGTTGCTGAGGCTGGCCTCAAAGTTTGCCATCCTTCTGCCTTAGCCTCTCAAGTCATTGGGATTACAGGCAGGTGCCATGGTGCCTATCCAAAGAACTTTATAAGGTTATCTTTTATTGAAAATATTAGTGTGCTGGGGTTGGAGCTCAGTGGTAGAGCATTTACCTTACATGCCCAAGGACTGAGGCTCCATCCTCCATAGCAGAAAAAAAAAAAAATAGTGATAACAAGCTGGTGGTGATGTGGCTCTGAGTTTGCATGGTGAAAGTGGAATAAAAAAATAGAAAACAAAAACAAAGGTCCATCAAGGAAGAGGGACCAATATTAATAAATCTCAGTTATTTAGTCTTCTGAGATTCAGTTTTTGCATCTAAAATAGAAGTAATTGGGGGTGCGGTTGTGGCTCAGTGGTAGAGCGCTCGCCTAGTACATATGAGGCCCTGGGTTCGATCCTCAGCACCACATAAAAATAAAATAAAGGAATTGTGTCCACCTACAACTAAAAAATATAAAAATAAAATAAAGTAGAAGTAATAATGCTAGATTTTCAGAATGAAAGGAAATATTGTCAATATATTCTCCTCTATAGATAGTAAAGGCTTTTACTATTTTGATAACAATTCTACTTGACTCATCTCTCTCCTGTCAGATTGCAAACTCCCAGAAGACAGTGCAGCCACCTCCTTGCCCCAGACTTTGTAGCTTTCTAGACTCTTCCGGTCTGCCCACAGAAGAAGCTCAGGAGGGTTTTATAGAGTCTCTAGGGTGATTGAATGACAGACATTTCCTTTCTCTTACTCCTTCCAGATGTTGCAGTGGCTGCCCCCTATGGGGGTCCTAGTGGTCGAGGCCAAGTGCTGATTTTCCTGGGTCAAAGTGAGGGGCTGAGCTCACACCCTGCCCAGGTCCTGGACAGTCCCTTCCCCACAGGATCTGGCTTTGGCTTCTCCTTGCGAGGTGCTGTGGACATCGATGACAATGGATACCCAGGTGCTCCTGAACTGCCTCCAGCAAGACAAGGAAGGCCTTATGGCATTTGCCAGAAGTGCTGACAGATATAGCTGGGGGCCAATGCCTGACCTAGTGCCGCAAGGGCTCTGGGATGCCTGCGGGGGTGGAGCCAGTCAAGCCTTCAGTGGGGGAGATGGTATGAGGCACCTCTGGGAAGATGACATGAGGACTCTACACTCTCTCTAATTGCCCCTTCTGACTCCTCTCCCAATGTCTACAGACTTGCTGGTGGGAGCCTGTGAGGCCAGCAAGGTGGTTGTATACAGGTGAGCACTGGCCCAGCAGCGGGGTGGGGAAGGCCCATATGATCAGAGGAGGCCACGCCAGGAAGGGTCACAATAGCAGGCTTCCCCTGATCCCATCAGAGCTCAGCCGGTAGTGAGGACCACTGTCCAGCTGCTGGTGCAAGACTCACTGAATCCTGCTGTGAAGAATTGTGTTCTGGAACAGACCAAAACACCAGTGAGCTGGTGAGG